TATCAGAGTTTTCTTTTGAGTTAAAGATTTGTAAAGTTGAGTTTATAAACTTTTTTTTCAGTTTTAAGCTCTTGTATGCTTAAGTTAGTATTCCGCTTGGAGTCAGCCAGGATGAGGGTTCGCTTGGGGACCAGCAATGGTCTTCGAGTGCCGGCCACGTCTAGGGTGTAGTCTCGGGGCGTGACATTTTTTTCTCAAAGTTCAATGGCATAGTTGGGTCTTTTCCCTTTAAAGAAAGAAGAGTTAATGATAGTTCAGATAGAAAACACAAACACCTGATAATTTATGTATGAATCTTACGGAAAAAAAATACACTTGTGAGTTCTTGATCATTATCGCTTCTCACTTGAGAGATAAAAAGTACAAAATTAAGTGAGATATTTGGAAGGTATTTGACTAAGCTTATAGGCTCGTTAAACTAACTTATAAACTATATTTTTAGCTTATGTACGTATTAATTAGTAAACATTCAAAGTACTTATAAACCACTAAGACCAATCAAAAGTCATAAGTTGATTATTCCGAACATAAACACTCTTTATTTGACCCGGTCTCTTACTATTTTGTCCTTCATTTTTTTTTAAATTCTCAAAATACTTTTTCCAATATAAGTCTCGTAACTTCCTCTTCACTAAGATATATAGTGTTCCTCTTTTTTTTTTACAAGGTTACATTTAAATTTACACTTTCTAAAAAAAGACAAATTAAGGTTATTTTAGTTTAGTTATTTTAATAAAAGAACAACTTACCAATACAACATCTTACCAAATACATAAATCTTTATTATAAATTTCAATACTTTTATTCGAACACGTAATCACACTTTTTTTTAGGCATAATACATAAATGTGTTTTTTAACTTGGCTTTAGTTGAACATCTACGCCCTTTAACTTTGGGTGTGCACAAGTATAAACTTAAACGTGTATAACATTGAACAAGTAGACACATGTGTCCGATGTGGCATAATACACGTAGGATGCCTTATACGATGTAAATTGTTACATAGAACACCACGTAAGATGTGTGTATGTACTTGTTCAACTTTATACAAGTTTAAGTGTTTACTTGTGCACACTCAATATTTGAAGGTATAGATATCAGTTAAAGCTAAGTTAAAGAGTATATATATGTGTTATTACAATGGTATTCGAGCCAGCTTTTGAGCAATCCACTAATTCCACTTTCCACATAGATACTTGTCATCTCCCATGACCACACCAATACACATGTGCTTTATGTGCCATTCTAATAACAATCGATGCTTTCAAGGATTCAATATCAGTTGTTTGATGATCAAATTGTGAACTTGTCTCAACTCTAGTCTCCATAAGAGTTGGCAATATATATTTGGTTCTATCAGCTTCAATCTACAATATATCATGTTAAATTATTCACTTGTCTTGCTGAGTGGATATAGGTATAATGTATTTATCCAGAAATTAGTATAAACTACAAATTTGATTGGTGAGAATAATAGTAATATCCGATATAAATTGTTTACATATTGGTAAACGTAATAATATCAATTATAAATTTTGTCTACATAAGAAATAAATGGTTGCTTGATATAAAATAGTATTTTCTTTTAATAAAATATAAATTTGTGGATCAATATTTGTATTTGAAAAATGTGAAATCATGATATAGAATTCCCAAATCAAGCTTTGAATTCCCGGCACATGAATCATTATTTTTCAACTGCAAGAGCTGAAAAGTGGTTATTTGTTGAATTTTAGCAATGATTTTCCCTTTATTGTTTCAAGCACTTACTCAGGTCTCAGGTATGAATTCTATCCATTATTTTCAAGACACTGATAAAGCAATTAGTATATGAATGTGTGGCTTACTGCATGATTTGTTGCCCGCAACATGTTCGACGTTTTGCCTCAATGAATTTCTACAAATTGTTTTGTGTTTTCTACAAAGTCTCAACTGTTCAACAATGTACGATTTTGTGTCGGTCGAGTAGTTTTGTCTGCATTACAATTTACAACCTTGGGTGAGACCCTTCTTCATATCTTGCATGAATGCATTTTTGTCATTGCCCTTTTTGTTTGATGTCTTAGTGTTTCCCATGTAAAACATTTAATATATTACTTGCCTATTTCTATTCATATAGTTTATTCCTCTTAACAATTTACAAAAATATCATTTATTGCAACCAACTAGAACTTGAAGTTGAAGTTGGTATAAATACCCAAGCCAAGATGGAATTTCCCCTCTAAAGTTGTTGAAGCTTAAATCAAGAAACTTTAGCCGACGCAAGCGTGCCATTTCTTGAGGCAAATTTCCATGCAAATTGTTGCCACTCAAGTCAAGAGAAATAAGAAATGTGAGGTTTCCAACATCACGGGGAATCTTCCCTATAAGAACCATGTTGGAAAGATTCAAGGACTTCACTCGCTAGTGACGAGAGCCACAAGTGACTCCTACCCAATGGCAAATCGAAGTAGTGGGAGACCAACTTTCATCCAAGTTGTGAAAGGGTCCGAAATGATTTGAGATTTTAAAGAAAGAAGAGATAATTGATCAGTGGTAATATTGGTTTGGGTCACGGCTGAACTGATCATAACATAGTGAAGCAACAAGAGAATATAGATGATTGTTTTCTCCATAATTGCATAAATTAGTAGGAAAATGGTATGGCTATTAGTAACTTATTTTGAGACTTATATAGTGATAATTTTTTTTGGAGACTTCTTTTAAATGATTTTTAGGATTAACTTTTCTTCACCAAGGGTTGTGGTGAAGTGGTTGGTACTCCATTCTTAACCAGAGGTTTTGGGTTAGAGTCTCCCTAGTACGAAGTTGCCTTTGTTACGGAGTGCTTGCCAACCCCCCACCCCCCCCAATGTGGGACTTCCCGGGACGAATCTGGAGCGGCTCCAATCTCGGTACCGGACACTGGTTGGGAAACCAAAAACAATAAAAACCTTTCTTCATTTATGTGGGCCCAAGGACTTGACCAATTGTAACAAACCAAATCAATAAGTCTTGCAAACCATGATGGTGGTGTAAACATGTTTTACACAAATTCATGGGAAAAACAAGTAAAATTGTCAATTAGAATATAACAGTGAACCTTGACTAATCTTTTGATGTCCATAATTCAGCACATATCAGTGACAGAGAGTTGCGTGTGATTTCATCTTATGATTTCAAACCATTGGATGAAATCCCAAATTCTCCAAAAAGCTTGATTTGAGAATTTCATATCATGATTTCATATTTTTTAAATACAAAAATCGACCCACAAGTTTATATTTTGTAAAAAGAAAATGCACCATTTTATATCCACATTTTTTTGTGAGAATACCAAAGGAGCAATAAAATATTCACGAAATATAAACATGATGATATGATTATTAATAATATTGACCATCAAGTGGCTCAATAAATATAGTAAACTACAAGTTTATAGCTCTTGCTCAGTTTTTTTTTTTTAAGAACTAAAATTCGATCAATACATATTGTATTTTTTTTAGAATAACTTTGTGATAATCTATTATACTTTTGTTCTGAACTTTTGCTTATTTGGTAAGATGGTATAAAGAATTGAGACAATTTTGATAGTTTTTAAATTACAGCTTATAAAGCTATTGCATTTATGAGCAAAAATACAACTTAAAAGATCCAAATTGCATGTCGAAACAAAAACTTCAACTGCATCTCATATGACTTCATATCATATGATTATTTCATCTCACATGGCTAAACGAACCCTTAAATTTCAGTCGAACCAGTGAATATCCTTCAACTGCTCTAAACATAAATGTGTATTTTGCTTGTGTGGGTAAGTCAAGAATTCAACTTCTTGACATTCTCTTGGTGTGTGTCTCACACAATTGAAAATGAGAATGCAATAGTCCATCAATTGTCTCACAAAATAACACCTGGAAACATTAAGTCAATAAGAATTGATGGTGTATGTACCACAAATTATAGTAAATTATAGTTGAAAATAAAATGAATAGTATCTCGCTCTCTTTATAGAGATTTAAGCCCACTGCGACATAATCTACACCGATCCAGCAGTATAACTCTTGACTTGCTCCCTCCATGATACAATAACATAACAACGTCGTATAACTCAAACTCTGGATTAGTTGAAGAGTCCAAAATTCCACAAAAGAACGTACACCTTCCTTCAATATAAAATTAATCTCTTTTGTATAGTGAATTAGTTGAAGAGTTAGAATATTCTTCTTTGTCTCAACTCTCTCCTTCAGTACTCTAACCTCAACCTCAACGTACAAACACATTATACTACTTCTCATCGTTGTCATCTCTATTTTTGTCCTAAATATAATGTAGGACCTCCACTATATTACAGGTGAAGAATCTTTCTTGCAATATATAGGAAGAATGTGGGTAAATGAATAGAGGAAATTGTGCCTTAAAAGTTACATGAGTAAATTATGGGTGAAATAATGTGTTAGCGATTACAATGGTTTTAAGGCAAATAAAGACCACATTATGCTACAAAAAACATTGGAAATTTGAAGCATCAAAAGATACTTCACTATGCAGCACTTCTTTACCCTTCAATATCAAACACTTCAATTGTATGATAATAAAGCCTACTTGTTTGAATGCTTTCGATATCATTTCTCTACTCCTGGTTTTGATCTCTCTATCTTGTTCCAGAAAGATAAGAGCCGTATAGGTCGATTTAAGTTAACAGAGTTTTGGAAAACATAGTTTGTTATTTGCCTTTCTCAATTATATTAAATAGGTGCTTACTCTACTTTGAGACATCATAAAAGAAGATACACATCTAAGATTTATTTGTTGATAGTCAGGCTACCCTCGGATTCTTCCCTATTGATATTAATGAGGTGGGAGGGAAGGATAGTGCCTAATATGGATACATATATTTCCCTTGTATCTGACCTTTCTGAGTTGACACTCACAAGTGAACAAAGAGGTGGATCATCTATGTCATCTCAATATTCATTTTGTCAGGTACCTGAATCAAACGATTTTGAGGAATTTGCTTTTAACATTCATTCTACTGGACCAAAACGAGGACTTTCCGTGCTAGTTGTCAGTTTGATATCCAAGTGTTGAAACCACTCATTTTAGATAAGTAGATAAATTTTCCAAGTTAAGTGTGGCATGAATATGACTCATGTCGTCAATGCAATTATTAATAACAGCCCTTGAAGACTTGAGCAAGTGTGGAAGGGAAATTGTGAGATTTATTGAAACCAACCAGTATTCCAAAACAGAATCATGCACAAATCAAGTGTGCTAAAATAAAAACAAAAAAAAAAACCAATCCTTACATGAATCCAACAATTTAGTAAACATTTGCAACAAATAAGTGATTCCGAGAACGTTGATCAGCATGCAAGAAGTTGAATGTTGATCTTTTGTAGCATCCCTACAACATCTTTCATGTTTGTCCTTCTTGCCGGAGATTCAGCACAACAATCTAATGCCACTTTCATGATTGAAGACACAACATCTAGCTCCTTCTGTAAGCGATTATCCATTGATGTTACCAAGTTGGCATCTACAACATCCATTACTGCCTCTAGGAATGAATAACTCACCCATTGCTTCAAGCTAAGATCTCCCTCAAACTCATTAGGCTTTCTCCTAGTAAACGTCTCCAACAACATGATCCCGTAACTATAGACATCACATTTTATAGACACCAATCCATCCAGTCCATACTCTATAAACAAACAATTAGTTTGAAGATTTAACATAATTTCTTGGTGAAAAAGAAAAAGAAAAAGAAAGGAAAAATCAGCAAAACAAAGAGACGTACCTGGTGCAATATAACCCAATGTTGCTAAGGTTTTAGTGTATAAATCACTCTCATCTTCACCAAGCAGTTTTGAAATACCAAAGTCGCTTAGGTGGGCAACCATATCCTCATCCAGCAAGACGTTACTAGGCTTCAGATCACAATGAATCACAGGTAACGAGCACCCATGATGGAGATATTCCAATGCACATGCCACATCTATCATAATGCTTAGTCTCTGCCTGATGTCTAGGAAGTAGTTGTGTGAATACAAATATTTGTCAAGACTTCCATTAGGCATATACTCGAGCACTAAAGCCTTCAAATCAAGGTTGGAACAACTAGTGATGACTTTCACAAGATTCCTATGGCGAAGGCTGCGCAAAACTTCACATTCTATATCAAAACTCTTGAATGCCGCTTCCAGTTGTAGATTGAACACTTTAACTGCAATATGAGTTCCACTTCTGAGAATGCCTTTGTAGACAGAGCCAAAACTTCCAGAACCAATCAGATTACTCTCGCTAAGAGAATCAGTTGCTTGGAGCAGTTCATAGTATGAAATTCTTTCTGTTGTTGCGATAGACAATGAATCAGCTCGTTGAGGAGCTCTTTTACCTCTTCTATACCTTATCCATAGGAACACAAAGGCGATAGGAACAAATACAAGTGCTATTCCTAGCAAAAGAAATAGAACTAGCAATTTTTTCCTATTCGATCTATGCGTTGATGAAGTGGGGCATGGCGGGACATTAAACCTTGACAAACCACACAATGCTTCGTTGTTGATAAAAAATTGACTCGAGAGGTTCTTGAAAGGACCCCCGAGGGTATTTCACCATGCAACTTATTGTCAGAAACATTAAAATACTTGAGGTATTGAAGTTTCTGCAAAGACATGGGAATAGTTCCCGATATATTATTATGAGAAATGTCTAGAAATTCCAAACCTACCATGTTGCTCATTGAGTCGGGTATAGATCCTTGTAACTTGTTGTGTCTCAAAGAAAGGTGCACCAGATTTTGTAATCCTCCAATTTCTCTAGGAATTCCATTTGAGAATTGATTCATCGATAGGTCTATCTGGTTCGCAGCCTTTAGATTTCCAATTTCTGGAGGTAAAGAGCCAACCATATTGTTTGATGATAAGTCAAGAACCATTAGATCTTTAAGATTTCCTAAGCTTGTTGGTATATTGGAACTCAATTTATTGGAATCCATATATATCTCTCTAAGGGAAGTAACGTTCCCTAAACAATTAGGAAATGCTGCTGAAAGTTGATTTTGACCCAAGGAAATAACACCCACATGTTGCAATTTACAAAGATTATCTCCAATAAATCCTGTAAGTTTGTTGATGTTCAAGTACAAGCGTTGCAGGTTTCTCAAGTTCTGAATTGATGTTGGAATTGATCCAATCAAGTTATTATTAGAAAGATCAAGGTCTATTAAATTGGTTAAGTTTCCAACTTCATTTGGAATCTGGCTGTTAATCTTGCAAGCAATGGCATAAAACTGTATAAGAGATATGGAGAAGTTCCCTACGGAGACCGGAAGCATGCCATTTAGAGGGTTGAAAGCTAGAGAAAGAAATCTTAAATTTCTGCAATTGGTTAAGGAAGTCAGGAAGCTTAAAATTGAATCACTGCTTAAATTGTTTATCCCCAAGTTTAGGAAGTGTAGATGAGTCAAATATCCAAGAGAATTGGGTATTAAGCCTGTGAGTTTGTTTTGTGAAAGATCTAGATCAGTAAGCTTTGAACAATTGGAGATAGAATGAGGAATAGTCCCAACAAGATTGGTTAAGTCACTCATATATAGCTCTTCAATGTTTGGTAAGGTAGAACCTATGTTTAGTGGGAGGGTTCCTGATAGATTATTGGCTGAAAGATCAATTATTGTCAGTCGCGATATGTTGAAGATCTCCATTGGAAGTGAACCACTAAAACTATTAAACCCAACATCAAATACCTCCAACTCAACCAGATTTCTTATCTCTTTGGGTATTTCACCTGGCAATGTTGGAGAACAAAGAAAGAAGAAACAATGTATAAGAAGATAAAAGAAGAGTTGCAGAGAACTTTGCTATCACTTTGAATACGTACCAGTTAACATATTTTTGTTAAGATATAAGAATTGCATCTTGGTTAAGTTGCCAATCTCCCTTGGTAAGAATCCACTAAGATTGTTGCCCCACAGCATCAATGACTGCAGCAATGAGATATTGAATATGGAGATCGGGATAGAGCCGGTAATCTGGTTTACCTCAATGTATAACTCCACTAAATTAACAAGATTTCCGATTTCTTGTGGAATTGTCCCTGCATTTAATGTATAATAAAACAGATCTGAGGTAATAATTAGATACAATAATACTAGCTGCATTCATAAAATAAAACATACCTGTGAAATGGTTGGATCCGAGATACAAGAACTGCAAGTTACTCAATCTTCCAATTTCACTGTGAATTGGTCCATCAAAATCATTTTCGGATAGAGACAATATTTGAAGTTGTGAACAATTTGACAAGCTTGTAGGCATATGACCATCAAGCTTGTTTCCGGATAGATGAAGCTGTTTGAGTATTGGGAGACCATTGCATAAACCATTCGGAAGATTTCCTGATAAGCTATTGATTGCAAATGAAACAACTTTGATTCGAGAAATATTGAAAATTGTGAATGGTATAGAACCTGTAAGCTGATTATGTTCCATGGACAACAAATTCAGGTTGTGAAGATTGCCAATCTCTTCCGGGATGTTTCCTTGAAGTAAATTGACTGATAAATTTAGAATCTCCAACCTTGAGGCATTTGATAGTGCTGGAGGAATAGTCCCTATGAGATTGTTTCCATACAAGCTTAAATATCTCAGGTTTGCAATCTCCTTTGGGATTTGACCCACTAAGGAATTGAAAGTCAAATCCAAATTTTCAAGCTTTGAAATATTAAAATATGAAGTGGGGAGTGAAACTGTTATTCCTAAGCTTTAAAACGTAAAGTTTGTGTAAAAGCCCAAACCAAGAAGGAACCTCCCCTCTAAAGTTGTTGAAACTTAAATTAAGAAACTTAAGCTGACGCAAGCATGCCATTTCCTCAGTCAAATTTCCATGCAAATTGTTGCCACTCAAGTCAAGAGAAACAAGAAATGTGAGGTTTCCAAAATCATGGGGAATCGTGCCTGTTAGAGTCATGTTGGAAAGATTCAAGGACTTCACTCACTGGTAAGGATAGTCACAAGTTACTCCTATCCAATGACAAACATAAATATCTGGAGACCAACTTTCATCCAAGTAATGAAAAGGGTCGGAACTAAGTTGGGATTTCAAAGAGAGAAGAGTTAATTGATCCGTAGACACGTTGGTACGCATCATGGCTGAACATAGTGAAGGAACAAGAGTAATGTTAAGAGAAAAGATCTCAAGGTCTTCTCCATATTTGCAGGAAAATGGTATGATTATTATATTTAGGAGACTTTTCTTTCGAATCTTTTTTTAAGGAAACGGAAAAACATATCAGCAACTAAATTATTGTTTCAATGAAACAAAAAAAAATGTGTCTTTTATTGGCTGTTGTGAGTTTGAAACCACTCATTTTAAATAAGTAGATAAATTTTCCAAGTTATGTGGGGCATAAATATGACTCATGTCGTCAATAATAATTGGTGCTATATCATGTTAAATTATTCACTAGTCTTGTTCGACGGATAAATCTTATCACAAAACTTTCCATTGTCTTCTTCTTGTTGTTTTCACTTAATTTGTTGAGGATGATAAAAATGAAAAAGGAGGTAGAAAAAAAAGTGTTAATATTCTACCACATGGGTGTGTTTGGTACGAAGTTTCCAATTTTTTCAAGTTTGTTTAGCTTAAATGTTTTCCAACTGTTTAGATCGTGTGTCTCGGTATGAGGTCGAGGTCGGGTCCCAATTTTTGAATGTCAAGTCTTGGGTCGGGAATCGAGGTTAGGTCCCGACTTGGGGTCGAATTCTAGTTTGAATGTCAGGTCTCGAGGGAGTTGGGGTCAGGTCTAGGGGTCGGACTCCGGATCAATTGTCGGGGTCTTATCTCGGTTTGGATGTTGGGGTCGGGTCCCAGTGTTTTACTTAAAAATATATGTAAAGGAAAAAATGACTGAGTTTTCAAAAAATCGATTAAACTTATGGTTTAAGAGAAATCGAGTTTCCAAGAGGACAGAGTCGCCACTTAATTTTTAGTAAAAATCAAGAAAAAATACTTACGGTTTTCAAAAGATTTAAACAGATAAAACCAATTGAAAATGGGTTCGAAGTTCAATATATATTCCGAGAAGGTGTTAGGCCCTCGGAATGCCCGCTAACTTGCGGTTGACCGGCGATTGACTAAAATGACTTTGACTAATTTTGAGAAATTTAACATAAGAATATTTAAATAAATTACAATATTTAATTAATTTTGAGAAAATAATTAGATAAACGACACATTTTTCTTTTTTTAGAGAAAAAGAATTCAAAATGACACATTGGACTTGTGATACGAGTAATTAGAATTTCAATAAAACTAGATTAATTAAAATTTATTTAATTCGTTTTTTAAGATAATAATTTGAACCAATTAAAGCATGAGACCATTTAAAATCAATTGATAAAAAGAGAACACACACAATTTTATTTTATTTTAGTTCATTTGAGAAAAGTGTTAACTTAAAACCATTTAAATAAGCAAAATGATTAAAGGAAGAGGCATTCAAAACGTGTCCTTTTAAAAACAAAAGATTTAATTAAAATGAAACATGGCTAATATATTTGATTAGTAAGATAAAACAAAAACAAATATAAGAATGTATTAAAGGTAAGCCAATGTAAAGAAATTAACTTATCGTTTGGGGAATTTAATTAGGTTAGTTAACAATTTAAAAGTTAGAGTCAACACGCAATAAACAATAAATAATCATAATTAAATAATTAGAGAGTAGGGAGAAATTGAATTTGGGCCTCTTTTTGGGCCAAATTCGCTGAAAATTTGGGGTATAATCCTAAACCCGTTTTTGTATATATCTGTTGTATATCCGTGTATATCGGATGTATACAACCCATTTTTCTGCTTTCCGGGACCTGTACGTCAACTCCGAAGACTTGTTCTTCGATTTATCAAGGTTGTCCGACTCGATAAAAGGATTTTGGGCCTTTATAGCCCTCTCGAAATGCGAAGGGAAAAGGGATAGGAGTTCGTAGTGAACTCGGATAGATTTCACATGCAACGCAAAACACAAAAAGGTAAGTGAAGGAACATCGATTTAGTGTAAGGAGTTGTAAATAATAAACTCATATACTAATGCACTTTAAATTAAACACTATAAATAGACAATAAGGCATATCACATGATTACTTTAAAACCAATACAAATGGCACTTCAACGTTCTAAGACACTAAAAACTATGGTCAAAATTAAACAATGCTAATGCCCCAGTGATAGATGTAATAATATCCTATTTAAAGTTCCCCTAAAGTACAATGACTAGACTACAATCAATTAGTGACCACATATTTTGTGCAATTAATCATGCAAAACTGTAAGGCAATGATGAACATTCAAGAGCAAATATATGTGAGTAACAGAGAGCAAACGGGCCACAACATTAATCAATATTATCAGCTCAAAAATGGAATGAGGAAGGCTGAGAAGCACTAAAATCCTAGGAAAAAGCAGTCTGTGATAGTCCAATATTCAGCTCATCATTAAAGGAATGCTCATAAACAATTTTTCATTCCTAACCGACAGTAAGCTCCAAACAATAAAGGAAGATGTATGTTATAATCTACCATGCTTAAGAATAGTAAAGAAAATAAAGGAAGAAAAGATTGTGTGATGCTAGAATGGAGTTAAAAGCTTTGTTCCTACACAAATCATTCCCGAAATACATTAATAGAGCAAGACGAGTACAAGAGACGAACTTCCATATTTTTACAGGTTCAAGTAAGGGACTGAAATAAGAACAGTTGTGCTCCGGCACTTAGAAACAGATCAGGAGAGCACCATGATGAGCTATACGAAACCAAAATCTATACTCTAAGAATCAGATGTAAATCTCCAAACAAATGAACAGAGTGCATGACAAAAGTAGCCAAAATGGGCAGAAAACGAGTCTTAACAATGATCACTAAACGAGCTATAAAAGAACAAGGAGAAAACATGGTTGAAAGGGGCAGACATGAAACCAACAAGTCAAAGCCTAGCCGATTACTATGCTAAATAAACATGAATAATATCACGTATAGACTTAGCACCTGAACTGTTTTTGAATTTTAGAGCAAGTCAAGATTATTTTCGAATTTCAGCATTTATCTAGCTTACAACCTTCAAGCGATGAGCAATTTATACCTTAAGAAATAAATGACACGAACAAGAATAGAGTTTACCTTTCTGAGTGCAGCAAACTGGACAACAAACGAGCAGAGCAGCGAGGAAGAACTTCACCACCGGGATGAGATTTCGAACACTCTGGCGAGCCCCGACGATCTGAGAAAGAAGAAACCAAATCCGAAGAGAACTTCGATCTTTTTGAAGCTATTTGAGAATGCTTCTGTTCAGCTATCAACTCTCTATTTGCTAACTTCCAAAATCCCTTTCTTTTTATGAACTATGAATTTCTATATCCTAGTCTCAAAACAGAATCCTCCCCCTCCAACAGTGAATAAGAACAAATATATATAGAAGGGAATCATTAGGGTTTCGAGACTTGGAGGGAAAGAGATCAAAAATCGGATTCTCGGGCCCAATTCAAAATTTGAAACTCCAAATACCTTTCACCAATTCGGGGATACAACTTTTCTCTGAAAAAAATCGTCCTATTCCGAAAGGGGAAAGGTAGACGGACGCCTCAGATCGATCTCTCATCCTTGAGTGCCAACGTGGAGTAATCTCACGAGGCAAGGACAAAAGTGAGAGCTGTGAAGACGAAGTCGCAGGTGCTTTTCTGCTGCGACTGAGATGGACGTTGGAGGAAGACGACAACCAAATCTCTAGGCGCGTCCAAAGCGTGAGTTCGACGTGTATCTCCGTCAACTCGCTGCTGCTGGATTGTCGTTTCAGGCTTCTGTTCACGCCGTGAACTTGCTCCGCTTTGTTGACGTTGTTCCTCTATTTTCACGTCATTTCTGGGTCTCTTTCGAAAATTGAGAAAGTGGGTCGGGTTGTTGTTGTAATGTGCTGATGGGTATGCTGAATGTATTGGGCTAAGCTTCCTAAATGTAGAAATGGTGGGCTGTCCGAATTTCAGAAAAAAAGGGCCCAACTTGGTCTATAGATATAGTTAAGTGAATTACTAATTGGTCAAATTGAATTAAAATTGGTCAATTGAGATTACAAACTTAACCAACTTGAAATTCATTTGCAAATTCGGCTAAAATCCAAATAAGATGAATTAACATAACTAATTTGGGAGCTTCTCAATCTTAACGAAATAAAATAATTAATTCAACTATAAACCAATTAATAAACTAAACTAATTTTAATAGAATATTAAAAATAAAATCTTTTTGAGATGATTTTCAAAATTTTTTATGAAAGATACCGATTATATCTATAAAACTATATGAAATAAATTTACTATTTATAAGTAATGAAAATCGACTAAGATTACTTTAGAATAACTTGAAAAATATTTTGAATGTTATAAAACTAATTATTTCAAGTCGTTCGAAATTTAAGAAGCTCGATGATTAATATATATTGTGGAGGTCCGAAATTGGGTGTCAACACCCAGTACGAATATTGGGTCTCGGGTTGGGAGTCGGGATCAACACATGTCCAGACACTAGTTTATTAAAAGTGAGATGCTCCAAAGTACTCCCTCTATCCCTAATTACTTGACCATTTTTAAATTGACACACCTATTAAGAAAGTAATTATTGACATGGTGGGTTTACCATTTTACCCCTATTAATTATCAAGTGGATGAATTGAAAATTTAAGATTTTCAAGAAATTATACCTTTTTCAAAGTAATTAATTGAGGGTATAATAGGCAAAATTATTTTGTCCTTTCTTGATTTGTCAAAATAGATAAGTAATTAGGGACAACTATAAAAGGAAAAGTGGACAAGTAATTAAGGACACAGGGAATACAAAATTGAAGGACCAATTTGCCCATCAAATAATAAACGATAATTTTACCCTTCACTTAAATATTACTTATGATATTATTGTATTAAAGATTACACTTATCTTCCAATTAATTAATGATAAAATTAAATTACAATGAATGAGGTAAATGGACAGTCATTAATTGGTGGATGAGTAAGTGATTGGTAAATGCTTCGGAATTCCTTTCATATTCTCTTATCAATTCAATGTATTGAAGTTCTTTATAAATTCCAACAATTGATATAAATTTGTGAACTACTTCTATTATTTTGGTATAGTTGTAGAAAATTATAATTCCCGCACTCATATATATAGTTAATTCTATAGTTATTAACTTTGTAATTTGCTACACTTTTATGTTATTACTACATATTAGAAGAGTCTACAAGTACGCATGTCTTCGTCAACATGCCTGGTTGTATGACAAGGGTATTTTCAGTATTTTTTTCATGTTTTATTCTTCAAACTATTTGTATTTTGCTTCTTTATACTTGTACCTAGGGGTATACAAAATCGAATCGAAAACCGAACCAAATCGCAAACCGAGTCAAACCGAAAAAGAAACTCGACTAGTGGTTTGGTATTGAAAAAAAAAAACCCGACTATATTTGGGTTGGTTTGGTTTTAACTATAAAAAATCAACCCGAGACCAAACCAGCCCGACATTATATATGTAATTTTAAAATTTTATTTTATACACAAAAATGTTTACTTTTATATAATTTTAAAATATTTCTTATACTATTTCATAGTTTTTATCTTTTAATATATTATTTTAAGTTTAAAACTTAGAATTCGGAATGGTCCAATAAAGATTATAGTTCATAGATATTAATAATTATAATAAAACTTAAATCAAAATCAAATCAATCCTAATGCAAAAAGAAAATCAATTCAACACTAAGAATGACAGTAATATTGAATATTTGTTCTTTAGTTTTACATTGGTTTAGACAATTAAAATACATAATCTAATTTTAATTTTCCTTAAATATTTAGTAATGTAACTAATACTTATTAAATTTATTTTAGCATGATTTAGTACTTTTAAATTATGATCATTTTCATTATGACTTTGCAATATTTATTTTATATGATGATTTCATTATTATTTTTATTGAATATTTTAGTGTGATCAGTATTCATATCATAATTTGTGTTATTTTCTTAAGAAACACCTTAGTTAATTGTATTTTGGTTGGACTAAAGAAATATTTGGAGCACAAGTTAATTATATGTTTGTATGCAAACTTTACCGAAAAAATCCAAAAAATTGAAAAAATCCAAGATTTATTACTTTGGTTTGATTTATAAATTTAAAAATTCGACAAAATGGTTTGGTTTGGTATTTGAAAAACCCGAAAAAATTTGAATTTTATTAGTTTGGTTTGGCTTATAAATTTAAAATTTTTACACAAATGATTTGATTTGATATTTGAAATACCCGAACCAACCCAGTCATGTACACCCCTACTTGTACCTTTTCCTTGTTAGACAAACAAATCCAGCCAACATTAACATAATGACCCATATGTCCCTAGAAGATTTATACTCTTAATTTGAAGCTTGTGGGCCCAACTTTCTTTATAATGTTCGCTGAGAGGCGTCATTTAATATGAAAAATTAGCATAACTTTTCAGAAAAAATATTCCATTCAAGTATTATTAGAACTCCTCCTATTCTAACTGAATTGTGAGACAATGCACATATATTAAGAAAAATATTAAAGGACGTACATAATTTAAACCATAATTTAAACTATTGCCCTTTGTGAAATCATAAATAATTAAATATAATGCCACTTTCATGATCAAGAAGTTGAATCTTCATCTTCTATAGCATTCCTACAACATCTTTCATGTTTGTCCTTGTCGAAGATTCACCACAACAATCTAATGCATGCCACAATATCCAACTCCTTCTGTAAGTGATTATCCGTTGGTGTAACCAAGTTGGAATCCACAACGTCCATTACTGCCTCTGGGAGTGAATAACTCACCCATTGCTTGAAGCTAACATCTCCCTCAAACTGATCACTAGGCTTTCTCCTAGTAAACATTTCTAGCAACATGATCCCGTAACTATAGACATCACATTTTATTGACACCAGTCCGTACTCTACAGTCAAACAATTAATTTAAAGATACAATATACTTTCTTGATTGGGAAAAAAAAGATGAAAAATCAATGATCAAATTAGCAAAAACAAAGAGACGTATTAATTGGCTGTTATCATTTTAGGTTATGTGGGCCCAAAAACTTGACAAAATTGGTTAAGATCAAATATACAACAGTCTTTGCTACCGTCTAATCAGTCCAAAGACTTTCCAATTTTCCAAGTCCTCAAATTATTACTAGTATTATATATGTTAAGAGGTGAAAGTTGTAATGGATATTCTCTATATATACCACATTTTATTTTTCAAACATCTTTCCTGTACATGCTTTATGTCATCAAATAATGTGAAAGTAAAAGAAATTAAGAATATTGTACAAGTTAACGATTACTATGTATGAACCAATTCTATTTTGTTCTCTGGCATTCAATTTTTAGATACAAACGATGTTGGATAGTGTTTATGGGCAATCTGTCGCTCACAATAATTCTAGAGATCTTCCTTCAATCTTGAATATTCTAGATTATTTTTTCAAGTGTCTTGTATATTAATTATGTTAGCAATAAATTCATAACAAGACCTCAACCTCAGATTCGAAGCCTGATAGTAGAGATTCCCTTGATCTTCTTCTTGGGGGTGACGAGAGCGCCTAGCGTGGGTCTATGCCCCTTTAACCCCCTATCACCGAAACTACTTAAGCTGGTTGTCCCAACTACTACTAGGAGGGGGGGGGGGGGAGAACCTTATCCCATTTCTATTGAAAAGGAGTCAGCTGTATGCGTGAGTCACCTTCTTCTAGGCTCCACTGGACGACACGGCATTTTCATTCAAATATATATAGGCCGACCGTACTTGTGATGGTTCCCAAGGATCCAATATGACTACTTAGGTCTACGTTGCCACGATATTTTCTATGGAAGCGGGAAGCACGCTGGTCATCTGTTGCTTTGTCAAATTAAACCTAGTAGTATGGCCTTCAGTAATGTTACAAAAATTGTTGTTCAAATTACAATGTATATTATATATATCTTCCTCTGAGTCACTTAGCTCTTCATTCTCCATCACGTTGAGTTTCCAAATCATCAACGTCATTTCCAATTTCTTCATCACGGTGTTGGGTGGTTCTATTTGGAGTTCCATTGTTTCGTCCCATAAAATGGTCCACCCCTCTGCTCCCAATGGTTTTCTGTTTTCCAGATGTGAAACAAAAATCATCTTCGTAAGTTCTTAGGCACTCCCCAGGTTAAATTATTTGTTTCATCGTTGTTATTTTGGAGCTGATATGAAATTTTGATGATTTAACAAATTTCGGGTTCTAATAAGGGACCTGGTCGAGGAAAGACTCTGTATATGTAAAAGACAAAAGAGAGTTGTCTAAAAGTTGTCAAACCTGTTGTGGTTGGTGCACATCTTTTTAGAGCAGCAAACTCCCAACCAATGGCTTTGCCCCAAGGGTTTGTGTCCATTTTATATTAGTCTCTTCTCCAAAGACACAACTCAAGACCGGCAAATAAAGTTTTTGAATTCTGAAAATTCATAAGCTCACAAAGAAAAAGCCAGCTTCAAGGGAGAATATTGCTCATACTCAACGAGGGACCAGATTGAGTGTTGAAACGTCTTTTGTTGTATTTTGAGATTTGAGTCTTGTGTTCTTATATTGTAAATCTGCTCCTAAGTTATAAAGGATAGTAGATCGACTACTTGTCTAAGTCTTTAGTTTGAGTCGGATTAGCTAGAGTTAGTTAGTCGAATCATCTTTGTTTTAGTCAAGCCTCCTTACATCATTGATTTGATGTTCTCTTGGGTAGAGTTATCTAGGAGTGTCAACTAGAGTTAGTTGATGTGTGGGAGCAGCAGAGTTGTTGCTTGTTTCTTCTCTTATCTTTGAGATCTGTAGTTGGTGTTAGCCTTGTTGGGTTCTTGAAATCTAGATCAACTAGAGTTGGTTTAGTGGGCAAGTACTACAGTTGCTACAGTAAGGGGGATGTCATGCCCTGAGCCTGCACCCTGGACGTGGTCGGCACTCGAAGAGCATTGTTGGCCCCAAGCGAACCCTTGGCCTGACTTTCTTAACTCAGCGGAAACCTAACTCAACAGAAAAACTCCATGCAATGCAAGGACATAAAACAACTTAACTGATAAAATCTGGCCCAGAAAGGCAACTCGAGTCTCAAAATAGAATATTTACATATATACATAGATGAAAGACTCAATACTAACTGACTGACTATCTGTCTGTCTATGAAGCCTCTATAACACTGAGATGGATGTTGAGACAGACCCCACAACATCCTAATAAAACAAAACTAAGAGAACAAAATAATTGAGTCCTCCGGAATGCAAAGAGGCTCACCACTGACTCTGGAGTGCTCAGCTGGATCAACGACGTGCTGGATGCTGATCCTGGGTACCTGTGTCTGCGTCATAATAAGATGCAGGCCAACTAGCATCAGTACATTGAATGTACGAGTATGCGAGCTGGAAAACTAAGCAACATAGGCTAGAAGGAAATCTGGAAGAAACTAAAAAGCTTACCTGGCTCAACTCAACTCAACCTGACTGACTTCTTTCAATATAAGGCAATTTAAAACAAGTGCGATATAAAGAAAGACTGTTTAAAACCTGCTATAAACTCTGTGTGTATACAAAGATACAATAAGCCTGAGATGTATATAGAAATACAAATGAACTGATGTATACAAAAATTCAATAATTTATGTGGGAGTTTCTCTAACCGACAACCATCACATAAGAGCTATAGTGATGATACAACGATCAACCTCACGCTGCCAGAGCATCCTGTACCCGGCCAAAGGTATAGGACATGAACTGCCTAATGGACCACTAGTCTATCTGGAAAAGGATTCATCTAAAAAGTATGATCATTTTCTACCCATGGTGGCTAATATGGTTCTATGAGGGTTGTGGGTTCCTTGAACGCTCCCCCAACTCGGTGCTCGATACTACTCCCAAAATGTACTGGCTCTTATGTTTTTTTTTAAAAACATTTTCTTCCTGCTGATTTGAGATTATTACTCAAAACTTAGCTCAAAGGCTATCTTGGAAATCTCAGTTTCTTCTCTTACTTCATTTAGAAAGCGATAACTCTTTTTCTGGAAAACTAGCCCGAAGGCTCTTTGGAAATCTCAGTTTCCAATCTTGTTTAAATGTGAAAACATTTCTTTAAAACTTCTTTGGGAATACTTAGTTCCCTGATAACTTTTGAGAAATGAACTCAACTTATACTCTTGACTTAACTTGAAACTCGATACTTTTTACTTGACCTGAAACTTGTGCCCTAAATGAAGTTAAAACGTTCAATAAAGACTCTTGAACAACTTTAAAGACTTGTTTCTTAACTTCTAAGATTGACTCTAACTTCACTTGACTTTGATCCAAACTTTCCTCGAATTGGATTATGAATTCAAGGTATATGATCACATGTTTATGGATAAGTTCTTGACGTTTAGACGTACCTTAGAGTGTGGAAAACAACTATAAAGCATAGATATATTATCAAGGAACATGTATGAAAAAGGGGGGAAGGAATGGGAAAGGTTGGCGCTCTGAGAGGCGCGGAGCGCCAAACCACAAAGCTCAGAAGGGCTGTTGAGGCGCTCTGCAAGGTGCGGCGCCCCAAGGGGAGAAGTTCAGAGCACTTCTTGGGGCGCTCTGCAAGGCGCGACGCGCCACCCCTTTTTCCTGAAAACTCGACTTTTCTCATTCTTTTCCCCAACTCTAAACCTTCTAAACTTCAAAGGTTCCAGCCCCAAACATTTGGAATCATAAAACCCCTCAACATACACTAGATTTAACTCGAAATCACAACCTGAAACATGTACCAAGACAACAAGGGACTTCAACAACACAACCAACAACTTCAACAACATAACCAATCTTTTCTCGGAATTAAAACGAGTTTGACGTGTGGGGGAAAGAACCAACCCAACACTATGAACTCACATACCTAGTTGGGATCACCCCCGACGATATCCACAACGATCTTTGACGAAACCTTGCTTGATTTTCTCTTTCTCCTCTTCTTCTCCTCTTCACTCACAAACCCTTACTCTCACTCTTTTAAAAAGGGAAAAACTGATCAAAAAATCAGTCTAAACCCTTAATATAACCAAAACAATTGATTAGGGAAAAGACCTAAATACCCTTACAATTTCCGGACGGACTTCCCTACCAACTGCCCAACTTCCAAAGGGCATAATTCACTCATACGAACCTCGTAATCGAGCAAACTCGGTGGCGTTGGAAAGATCATTCCACGAGCTTCACAAACATAACTGGAACTACACCTAAATCATCCTGAGCTAGGAGTTATGACTGTTCAAAGTTGGCCAAAAACTCACTTTTTCCCATACTTAAACCAAATTTTCCAGATTTTTAATTCTTTCCAAAAATGACTATTTCCAATTCTAAGACTCTTTATAGTTATTTCAAATTGCCGGATGTTACAGGGGAAGGGATTAAGAGTTTAATTCCTAAGGTATAAGAGTTTGTAATATGAAGTTTTGCTCTATTTTGAGTGATACGGAGTTTGGGTTGAAATCCTGTGAGTACGGGTTGTGATTTTCTCCTCCCTTGAGCAAGGGGGTTTCCACGTAAAATCCTTGTGTTTATTTAATTTAAGTTATTTATTTTCCACACTATTATTTTGTCGAGGGACCTGGTCCAGTGACCATTAGTGGACATATCCGTTCTAACAATTGGTATCAGAGCTTGGGCTCTCTATCTGGTTAACACCAAGAGAGATTCCTATGAAAATGCAGCTCCACTATATTTGGAAGAAGGTCAATCATCAATTCGACCATCTCGATTTAATGACATGTTCTATAGTTGGTGGAAGACTCGCATGCACGAGTATAGATCTGATGGCTGAGAATATTGTTCTTGATGGTTCTCACACTCCTACAATGGATGTGAAGGATAG